AAAATATTATTTCAATTAAAAAAAAAATTAAGTATATAATTCATTAAGTATCCATAATAATATATTTATAACGGTTTGCAAAAAAAAAAAAAAACAATAGAGATTACTAGTTAAGATTATAATGAGTGATGATTGTTCATAATATAGGTTAACTTAATGGACGAATTTTTTTATGTATTAAAATAAAATTACTAAAACGTAGTACGCTTGACTACAAAAACAGGGTGAGTTTTTTATTTTGAATAGAAAACAGTGGACTATGGGGTAAATAAATTAGTTTGATAAAATAAATATTATTTAAAATTTTATAGTTATCAATAAGAAAAAAATAATAATTAAATGGTATAATAATTAAATTCAATAAAACTTGAAGACGAAAACATAAAATAGAAATCATTTCAGACGTCAGAGCTTTTCAAAATATGTTAAATATTTATAATTTCGACATATTATTATCATTAATTAYATTTAAATGGCCACAGTTGATACTTGATTAACTGCGCATATTTTGAATAATATTAAAAACATACTATAGAGATATCTTTGAAGGTATTACGTTTTATGAGCACATACACAACTATTAAAACTTAAAACCGAATCGATTACGCAAAGTAATAACACTTAGAATAATATATTGTTAAGTACAAACATAAAAGTTTACTACAAAATATATACAATTTAGTTAAAAGGAATTGCTTACATTAGACGACGACAATCAAACATTTTAAAAAGTGTATAAAAAGAACGGAATAGAAAATAAATAAGTTATAACCACAACTAGGTACAATACGGAACTGATATGAAAAAAGAAACACGGTGAATGGGTGTGTAAGACTGAACGTTGTATCACACTGAATTCACCGAGTGTTGTTTGTGACACAGCACACAACAGCGCAACTCTTTGGGAAAACTGAAAAGCGCTGTAGTTGCGATGCGTCCGAACTATTTTCAATATCAAACAGTAATAAAATAATAAACGACGTTATTATTTTTTTTATGAATGCTATGTACTAATGGCTACAAACTACCAACCTTTTACAATATATATATATATACACATAAAAACATATTTAGACTAAAAACAAATTAATTAATTGTAATAATATAAAATAAATTTAAAAAATTTTTAGTAACATATAAATAATTCAGACTAATATGTAATGTATTATAGTTATAGTTTATGTAGAAGCGATACGTAATCTACTAATATAGGTAGTTCATGTTTCATAAATTAATTCTAACATAAACATCTTGTGATATTCACTAAACAGATATATTATAGCAGTCAATTGGAAAACATTAAAAATTAATAACATGACATAAAAAATATCAATATAAAACTTCGTGGCGGTGACACATTGATACCCGGAACGGTTTATTTAATGCGATTGATACGTCGGTGTATTCGAAACGACGAAAACAATATTATTGAATAAATGGTCATTGGAAAAGCTTAAATTATAATCTTTTTTTTTATTATTTATTTGTTATAAACGACTTTCGTTACATAGACGGTATATTGTATTCAATATCAATTGGGATATCGATTTAGGTATACAGGTAACTAGTAATGCTCTGTGAATATTCTAGTACCTAAACCTAGAACCTATCAACTCAAAACTTAAAGAACAATTTTTAACTTTAGTCAATACATTCTACTAGAAAAATCACCAGTTTTAAACATTGGGAAACTCCCAACAGTATCTAAAGAGGACGCTACTCTTGTGTTTGTTGTCTGGTTGTCTCCGATTTACGAATGTACAACATAATAGCAAATGATCGTTCACTAGTTTCAATATTATTTTTTTTTGTTTTGATACTAGAGTGAAACGACCTATAATCAAATTTTTAGGTAAGAACATTATCTGTGCTTAAGCGTCGGGAATTTTTCCAATATTTCAATTTTCAAGTAAGAAATGGGTATTGATATATCCACAAAATAAAACTGCTAATATAGGTATTATTTGAAAATTAAGATATCGAAAAAAAGCTGACGCTTATAAGCACATTAATGTTCTCTATGTCGTACGTGTGTAAGACGGACACAACAAATGCACGAGTAGCGTCCTCTTAACTATACTTAACCAATTTCCGATCAAGCAGTTCTTATAATTAGAATTCATACGTAAAAGTATATTAATATAACTGCAATGTCTAGGCATTAAGCACGATCTTGGGTTAAAATCCAACTCKAGGTATAAGCTCAACATTTTATTATCATGAGTCATTCTCATTATAATGAAGAGTATAGAATATCGGATATAGTATACTATTGGTTTGATATCACGAATTATCTACATGGGTTACTAAAGTACAGGGGGTAACAGCCCACTTAGTTCCACTTTTTATAAGCAGCACTTGCTAGATATTGATCTGCACGAAGTCAGTATAGAGTCAATTGTCCATTGTAATTTTTTTTTAAATATTTATTATAATATTTTATAAAATCAATAATTTAATTACTAAATATAACATTTATTTAGATTTCAATAAAAAAATTATGTTAACTTCAAAATCGAGTAAAGTAATTTAATTTATAGTCATGCTATAGGTATACTGCAAAGATCTATCAACTTAATATTTTAATCATTATGAATACGTTTTTATACAATACCATTGAGTGTTTTACATATTATTAATTATTAACTTTTAGAACCCTAATTAATTAATTAAAAATGGACTTAAATTTGTAATTAGCCATAATTACATAATTAAACGGAGAAATTATTGATGTAAGATCATGTTTTATATAATATTTTAATTTTACACCTTGCTATACTAAAATCATTACAACTGATTGAAAACGATAAAAATATTGTAGTTGTGAATCAAATTTGAGTGAAATTAAACATCTTAAGATCTTATACTTATATAGCCTGCAACCATGTACCTATTGTACCTAGAGGATGTAACAGGTCAATTTAACTAATGGATGTGGTATGCATCATGTGGTCAAATTAAATAATGATAAAATATACGTATTTATTATTGATTACCTATATTTTAATGATAATAAAATACTGATGAGCAAGAAATAAATTTGAATCTTAACAAACTTTGAAAATTGTTTAAAAATCTATGATATACCTAACTAAATTAAAAGTTTTTAACGTCAAAATTGTTTTTAAATACTTATATATAAAATAGCTATCTTAGATTATCAGTAAAAATTTAAATAATTTAATTTATATATATATATATAATATTTATAAAATATGAAAATTATATAGCGCAGAACTCTAAAAATCATTAAAAAAAAATTAAAAACTTAAAAATATTGAATAGAAAAAAAGTTATAGCATTAGTCAAATAGACCTGTTACAATCTGTAAAAATTATACACATATAGATACATAAAATGTCATTCACTAATACATATGTATAATAGACACATATAGACATATATAGTAAATTTGAACTCGAGGTTGCATATTAGACGATAACAGAAACTTAACGAACTATAATATCGTAAATTTAAGCAACGAAATATTGGTGAAGTTATTGAAAATAACAGCACCTAAAAAAAAATTAACTGAAGTTAAACCGAACACAAATGTTTATTTATGTATCAAACGAATCAACTCAAAGTAAAAAAAAAAAAAAAGTTTAATATTTTAAACGATATACAACTAATACTCGTATTATGCTTAAGTATATTAACTTATAATAAAGAATTTCAAGTAAAAACAATTACATTATCAATTATTATAAATTGTAAAAAATTGTAAAAATACTTGGTGTATTCACACAACTAAATCAATACACCACCCCTTTATTTTTTACATGTTTTCTAATTAAATGACCTATATTAAAAAATAGCGTAACTACTAACTACTTCCTAAATATTCCCACGAGTTACGTTAACTAAGTAATAGCTCTCCGATGTAGTAAATAATAAATATAATTGTTATTATAATATTACATTGTAAACCTTTATAGTAGTATAAACTACTTTAATAATGTTTGAATTTTGAACAGAGATAACATTTAACAGGTATTCTCACATAATCACATAGTGATAGCTCATAAAAAATTTAAGTATGTGCCTAATTCACTAGATTTGATAATTAATGTATTAAATTGCAATCTAAAAAAACGAATGGAACATGAACTAATGGTTTCACATGTATATTTCATTCTTTCAAATAATTCGTATTCTAAATATTCGTACGCGTGTAAATCTGGGCCACTTTAACTGTTTCTAAAGAACAACCTTTTACAGTCGCGGAAACTTGCTAGCTAGGCTAAATTGACACATAACACGAAACAAATTACTGATGAGGTAAAACATCTACTAAATATAATTTATTATTTATTTAAAATATTCTTATATATGAGTATAATATATTATATTATATAGTATCAACAATATACATATATATATTATTCATAAATATTATTTTCGCCAGAATCGGTTGTTCAAAGGTGAAGGTTAAAATGTACTTTGTAATTTTACTATTGAATAAATTGAACAATATGAAAGTTTAAAGCTCGCATTTTATATTTTAGTCGTATATCTGTTTATAACTTTTACTAGTATTTTTATCAGATAAACAATTGTAGACAAATATAGTAAACATTATAATGATAAATTAAAGATAGGTATACTTAAATACAACTGTTTTTAGTCAGATTGTAGTTTAGAAAAAAAATTGTTTAAATTACAGAATTTTCAGAAGCTAAAAATGAACTTTGTTACGTGGGAAGTATAAAACTGCCGAAAAATACCGAAATCGTTGATCATCCTTGAGCGAATGGATGGAAAGTACTTGAAACAAGTTTGACATTGAAAATATTTATTATGATTCATGAGTTATGATGTTGTCCAGTTATTATGAAATCAAGACAGATCGATTGCATACATAGTAAATATCAACTAGATTATTATTGATAACATTTTTTTTTAAACTAGATATTTATTTTTATTTTTAATTGATTAGTTAAAATCCGCATAAAACGCTAAATAGTTGCACGAGAAGTTATGCCGTAGTTATTTATTACCTCTATTAAGCTCGGGCAATATCATTCGTACCCGTGGAGGTTTCTCCGAAGAAAATCTCGGGTCTACAGGTGTCTTTGCCGGCACCGTCGGCGACAGTAAATGGTACATGCACTTGGGCGATTCGCCTTGTGTTTCCAGCGTATTCGAGCTGACCACCAACGGGTTTTCGCATAAGTCTTCTCTACCGCCAGACTGGAATTCGACATCAGTCGGACCGACATTTTCAAAATCTGTCGGATGTCCATCATATTTACAGGTCGCTAACTGTATGCGGTTGACATCCTCATGGTCATCACGGATACTCATTTCATTATAAGTTACGAATATTTATCACATTTCGTCACAATAATTAATAGTCCTAAATTAAAATACACGTTTTTTAAAAATGCATGACACACGCAACCGAGTACAGAACAGCGAAAATCAATTTCAATTCTAAATTTAAAATATTACATGTACACCTATATTATGGTAGTTATAAATGCCGAATGTTACATTATTAAGTGAATAATTCGTATCTATGAAAAATGTCTGATAACTGTTACAGGCTAAAAGCAAAGTCTAAATTACCTATAATTGAACATTGTCGAAAATTTCTATTTAAAACCTTATACCGCTTTATATTTACTGACTGACATTTTCTCAAAAACATTCTTTGTAAATAATAATTATCAGATAATTACACTTCATTCATGTAAGACTATTAGAACAGATTCAAATGCTTAGTTTTCTACTCACGTGTTACAAAATTACTACGCATGACTAACTGATTCGTTTACGCTCGTACTTCATTCAATATGTATTCATCATTTATAAATGTATAATTAACACATGGGACAGATCGTCATTGTCGTCTTGCTATTAAATAAAGACAAACACGCCACAAGACTACGCAACTCTAAATTCTAATGCATGACTAAGAACGATCACATACATGTTTTGTTGTTTTAAAATGTTTGTAGGTCAAAAATAACGACATAATCGATCGAATGATTGTGGTGTTTTTTTTTCGTAAAATATCTACTACAATTTTTTTAACCGAAAATCATAATTGATGTCTAGGATTTAATATTATTAAATGTTTCTGACATTTGGACAGTGTACGGATTATAATTTAATAAGTTTTGTTCGTAATTCAAAGATGGTTTTGTGCTCGGGTACGTGTACATTTATCAACACCATTTATCAAAAACTATAAAATTAGCAATAAGTATAACTAATATACAGTTAAAACTTTAATTTAAAAAATACATGTAAAATAAGTATACCTATATTAATTGAAATTTCAAAGAAAAAAATACTACTATCACAAAACTTTAATAACCGACACAAAATAGTTTTTAATTGGTATAACTTGTTGAAACTAATGACAAATTTAAAAAAAAAAACACCTCAAAATTGAAAAATTTTACACCRGAAATAGGAACGCACACCGATAATATTATATCACACGATTACACGAAGCGATATAACGCGGTCGACTAAGGAGGCGCCGTAGAAAATTGCAGTGGCAGTGTGCCACAGGCCACAGCCGAACAGACCATCACGAAGAGTAAAGCCCAGCCCATAATTTAGCAGTGATGCTGATGGCACGGTAATTATTGTACGATCACCAATAATAAGTTCAGTAATAACCTAACGGGTGTCGTGTTTAACAACCAACCTACAAATAAACCAAGTATTCTATAGTAGTCTGTGGAATAAATTTAAGTTATCGGTTAACGATGAAAAACCCATGTCCTAATGTCCGATACCAAGGGTAGGGAACCTTTTTCGGCTTAATCATTATTTTCAGAGCCATAATGGTTAAGATAAAAAAAACATATTGTACAAAAAACGACTGATATATTTTACTAAGCAATTTCATTCGGAACTAATAGGCGTTTAAAACGCCCAAAATTTAAAATAAATTCACTAATTCATTAATTCATAACGCATTATTATATTACATTTACAATTATTGCTTGTGTAGATATAATAATAAATTATTTAATTAGACACAATAATGCAAATAAAAAAATGTACCTGGTTAATTAGTGTAATTTTTGACACTGACTTTCTACGAACAGTTTATTCAAATTGGAGAGTTTTCAACTACAAACAAGTATCGAGGCTGATAAAATTTAGTAAAATTCTTAATTTTCTTTTAATAAAGTTCTTAGGTAATCGAAAATGTTTGAAAATAAAAATAAATTATAGCGTAATATAAAAAAAATTATCCTATTGAAATTTTTATTTTTATTTTACGGGTCTAGTATTGATACATTTTCCAAAGAATCACAGATTAAATGGTAAGAAGCTGCAAGATCCCGACCCCTGTCCTAGTGTCATATACCAGTAACAAATTTTTAACAACTGTCGCAGRGTTACAAATACGAAACATTATAATCATTGCAATGCATATTATTATTTATTATGTATAATGCCTTTCTATCAACACCATTAATTTATACAATAATTCACAATATATGAAATTTTCAAATAATTGATTGAACAGATTGAGATCCCACTCAATGYGGATAAGTGAACAATCTTTAAATCGCATTGTATTATTCCAATCSCGTTTTATCTGCCAACCATTAGGTCATTTATTGTCATAATACGTTTTTGACCGTAAACACGCAATACTCAAAACTGGTATTATATTTTGCCCGCTTTTAACAATCTTCAAGTTATGTTACTAGACTACGGGTTATCTAACCAAGATTAGCCTATTAAATAATGCAGATAATAAAAATCTATAAGAAAAAAATTTAAATTGTTAGTAAACGAAAAGAGATATAATTTTTTTTTAGGAAAAAAACAAAAGTTATTATTTTTAATTTATACATAAACAGGTACCTATTAAAAATATAAAATAGGGACAACAACAACATTTAAACAAATGAATAGGTAACCTTTAAATTACTTATAAATTAGGTAAAATAATATACAGGTGTCCCGCGTGGATTTACCCATTGCGATATCTCACGAAATAATGGAGATATCAAAATTCTGGTTTTATAATAAGATTCACCGGGTTCAGAACAACAACCTATAAAATACCTATGGAAGGCAGAAAACTGGATCGTCAACAAGTCTTGAAATTTATTTGTCTTCATATAACTATTATGAAAATATAGAGATTTGAAAAAAATAGTTTTTATTGGACCTCTTTAATTTAATATTTTTATCATCCAGACTCCATTAGAAATTACTTGCATATAGTCATATAGACTACATAATAAGTATGTACTAGGTAACTACTACCTACAAGTACAATTCAAAACAAACATTTAAATGAATAAGATATTGGTATTTGGTATACCCATTGACTAATGGGTATATCCAATGCGCATAAAAATACATACTATAATAAAAAAATATATTGACATTTAAGCCGACAAGTAATTATATTAATAGACAATAAATAAATTAGCATTCATTTTTACCATAGACAGACCGACTATAAACACATAGTACGAGTATATGCAATAATTTGTACATTTTTAGCATCAAATTACATTAACCTGTTTCATAGGAAGTGAAAGAGGATCATTGTTTGGGGTAACACACGAGAGAAAGAAATTCGATTCACAAATTTGAACCAATCACTTATACAGCTTCKTTCATGATAAATAGTAAATACATATATAATATAATAAAGCACAGCAGTGCTGAATTCATGCTTGTCACCTAAGTGTTTGATAAAACAATTCATTTTTTTTCATTATTATAAAATTAAAGTTATCATAATATGTATCAATGGTTTCATTTTACTTGTGTAAAAAAGGTGATGATTATTGTTGTTCTTCCAAACATATAAATTATATGACATGAATAACACATAAAATAATCACTATTTCAAAAAAAAATATATATTATTTATTTATGGCTATTCTGTCGCTATTAAGTTATGACCAACAATGCACCAAAAACATGTTAAGTATTAGAAATATACCATGATAATAATTATGATAGTTGAAACCAAAATATTATGGTAAATTAATTAATGGTTACAAAAATGAGATAATTTTAAATTTTTTTATAAATATATCAGTGAATATTTTATATCAAATTTATCATTCATAAAATATGTTGTTACAACAAAGCACGTTTAATCAAGTGTTGTAGCTAAACATTTGATGAGGATGGGGGAGGGGCAACGAAGTTAATTTTTAATTTTTATCTTAATTTAAAATTTTGTTTAACACAACATTATACTTGTTAATTTTTTATATTGGGTGAAGACATTTCCCCTCCATCCCTATACCACCTATTGGCTATGCTTTTGTGTTTAATATACTAATAACTAACATGAATATAATAATCTTTTTCCTAATTTATTGATCAAATATAATTTTTTTTCATACAATTTTTTAATTAATTATAATTAAAGTGTGAAACCAAGAACGATAGGTTAGACAACAGCACTCGAGGCTACCTGACAATCACTGAACAGCTTTTTTATATTATTATAAATGTACATGGTACAAATAGACAAAATAAGAATACTGTAGATTATTAATAAATGTACTCGTAACAGACATAACGTGGCCTATTCATGAGATACACCAATAAAGGATTTATAACTACTTAAAAATAAATGATTATAGACTTACAATTTACACTTATATCAAAAAATTAAATTATAAATCACTAACCCTTAAAGTATGTGTACTAAGTCAAAAATTTATTTTAATTTCATTAAGTTTTATATGAGTAAAATTATATTTAAGACGTYAAGATCAAAACTTTTAAAACTGGCAATTGTTAGTTCCCTAACATAATATAATAAAAATACAATATTCAGTATACCACATGATTGAAGTAATTAAAAAGTAAATTATTTATTAATCTTAATACAATATAAAACGCTAATTAGTAGTTTATCTTTTAGTTTCAATGAATAAATCTATTGCATATTGCTCAATAAATTTAATATGCCAACATAAGTAATGGAATGTTATTAAAATCATTACACGTATTGTACATATAATGTACATGTATTGTATAATGTAAATGTTGTTAACTACTATTTCAATTTTGAATGTCACAATAATTAGTAWCAATAACATTCATTAATCTATCTTTTCAATTTTGATTGAGACATTTTTTAATTTTAAATACTTACGAAAATAGTTTAATGTTTCACGTATATATTCTTTTGAAAGACTTGCTGTATCAACTTCGTCTTCATTTGATGCTGGACTTGGAATATACCAATCTTTATTTTCATAACCTAAAATTATTCATTAAAATAAATTAGCATATTAAATAGAAGCATAAGAACTAATTAGGTAACTTAAAAAAAAAAATAAAACATACATTTATTTATTAATAATTATATAGACACCTCAATAAATATATATATTTTTTTTAATTAAAATAATTGTATAGGAATTAAATTTAAATATTAAAAATCAATATTTAAATTAAGCTACACTACTAGGCTAAGTAATTTTTTTGTTAAAAACTTAGATTTTTTCAATCTATTTAATTTAATTCTCTAAATTAATGACTAACAAAAAAAAATTTAATTTTCTTATTAGTTCTTATCATTTTTTAATTGTATAGCCAGTGTTTTTCGACACCTTTATCAAATTTCAATATTCACTTGTGAATGCACATGTGCGTCAATGGAAAAAAATAAGGATTAATGCTAACGTGTAAAAAGAATCAAATGATTTAATTATTACCAGTAAATTGGGTTAAAGTGTCAGCTCTCAATTTGTACTGTGGTATGGTTTCTTCCAGCAAACTGATTAACTCAACTTCTGGAAGTTCATCATTACTGCATATTTCTAAAAACAAATTGGTCATTATAAGGTATATTTAGTTACATTTATTTTCTATAGTATATGAAACAAAAAGATTTTGAGTATAATATATATTTTTAAATGTTTAGTAGACCTGTTCATTTTAGTAACATTTTTAGCAATTAAATAGTTTGCTAACTCAAACCAAATAATTAATTGGAAATAGTATTCAAAACAATAAGCAGTAACTAAATCATTCAAAATTATGAGCCCAGCTAGTAGACACTAATTTGATGTTTGTCCAAACTTTGTGACGTTTGTCTGCTACCTAGTACAAATTACACTTTCATAAATTATTGATCAATGTAAAATTATAAGATTAGGCAAGTGTTTCCAGAATAAAAGCTGTTAATATAAATCAAAAAAATCAAAACAATTTAATCACAGAACACTTGATTTTTACTGAACAGACCTACCTGATTGCCAAGTATTTAAAATGTCT